CCGTCCGTCCGTCCCGATTACACACCGAAATAGGTTGTATCTCTAATTGTTAAAGTTGTTCTTGACGTATATAATTGCCATTTCGTCATGGATCTAAACTGTTTAAGGTTTGTTATTCATTACAGATTGTAACCTACTAATATCTTATGTTTATGTCTATTTCACAGCTTTAGGTACTTCTTTATCTCTGAAAAATACCTATATATATATTATATATATATACATTTAGTACCATGCAGTATATATTTTTATTCTTTGGAGAAAAACGCATATACTCAACTTTCAGAATCGTCATCTTTTTGTCGTCAAATTGTGTGCTCTTTTTTTAACTATGATTAAAAAAAAACATGATAAAGATTCATGTTTTGTTTTAAACTCTATGCTCACATCTGAATGCGTCAGATTATCTATTTTAAAGATAGGTCTTGTTAATCTTTACTGTTTAGTCCATTTTTTGGTAATATACTTTTGGCGTCGCTCGGTTTTTATACATCCCGTCATTGTGTTATTGTGTTAAGGTCATTTTTGTATTCTTGTCTTGCAATTTTGCTCATGTACTTTGTCCATAGAGTGTCTATATGCCACTTTTGTTTTTCTTGTTGAAAAAGTTATTTTTTTTTATATAGTGATTAAGATTATAATACAATGTTGACTGCTGTACCCCAATTTTTGACATTTTTACTCGGATGACCTTGAGAGAAGGCTTGAGAAAATGTCATCCGTAGTAATGCTATGGCAGATTCTGAGTGTGCTTTTAAACACCCATTTCTGCATAGTGAATATAAATACGCTGACGTTATCGAGTGCAAAATGAAATTCTTTATCGCTTCATATATATTAATAGTATCAATAATTTTCATGAAAATATTTTGTTTAGGAAACATTTATATGTATCACAGTAAGCAACATATTTTGTCGTGACGCATATATATATATATCAGTAAAAAATCATAATATCGAACAGGTACCTTGATAAGATGGGTCATCTGAGTACCCATAATGCATGCGGATGAATTTTAAGAATTGTATGTACATGCATGTCCTTAAGCTTGCATACATAACAATATGACGAAAATAATTATACAAAGTAAATATACCTTTAATATCACTAGTATTGCTGCATCATCAATCGATCTGGTTTTACTTCTTAGACATTTTCAAAATATGAATTCTTATTGAAAATAACATGAAAAATAATAATGTTTACTGATTGTACCACATTTTAGTATTTAATCTATTACTTGATATGTTTTTGTATTTGTTTTACATGTAGATATCCAAATCTAAAACGATGCGCAACAACGAAGTTTTATGTATACGTGTATAGTCATCGAAAGCTGTTGTCTTCTAGTGCGATGAACCATATATCGTCTAACATAACTAAACTATTATCGTAACATGGGATAATTACATGGAACTGAAGGCATTTATTTTGCACAACTGAGTTCTTATGTTTCAAAGACATTATTATGTGTGCGTCAGTATTTTTAAGTAATCATTATAAGCCTATATGTTTTTAAATTTAAATCCAGTTAAACTTTCCAACTGTTGTAACTCAATAATGATTGATATTTATTTATCACTGAGATTACTCTTAAATTAATCAACATAACACTACTAACGGGGACAATATAAACTCTCATCTCATGGTTGTACATAATTAATATCTATTTATTAAAGATCCATTTTGTTATATCTTGTGATCCGTTTATTTGGCAATCGCCAATGGCAGTCAACAGGGTTTAAGAACATCCGTACGGCCTTCAACAATGAGAAAAACCCATACCGCATAGTCAGCTATAAAAGGCCCCGAAATGACAAATGTAAAACAATTCAAACTGTTCCCTTGTGAAAAAAGCACGTTAAGAATCTGTGAATTACAGGCTAGTGAATTACAGGCTCGTAACTTAGGACAGGCACATACATAATGTGGCGGGGTTAAACATGTTAGCGGGAGCCTAACCCTCCCCTAGACTGGGAAAGTGGTGTAACAGTACAACATAAGAAGAAACTATAAAAATCAGTTGAAAAAGGCTTAACTCATCAGATGGATACAAACAGAAATACAGAGTCGACGTGGCAGGGCACTTATATATCCCCACAACAAAAAAACACAAAGTACAGATCTGAGAGTACTCTAAATAATGTGATATGTTGAAGTTGAGGCTGCTGTGTACTGAATCGACAAACTGAACCTGATTCTTAACGTGATTTTTTCACAAGGGAACAGTCCACAGGTAGACAGGTTAGCCTACGTGGACACATTATTCTGACTCCGAGTCGACCAGTCTATGCTCTTTCTCCTAAATGCCGCGTGCCTAGCGGAGAAACAGCAAAGACGTATTTCCAAGTCTTTGGTTTGACCCGACCGGGGTTCGAACCAAAAACTTCCCGGACGCACTCGAGGGGAGCACGCTACAAAAAGACCATGAGGTGGTCAAAGAAAAAATGAATTAGAATCAATTTTGTAAACCATGCGTTACCATTTATTTTGTTACGACCTAAAATGATCTTGATATCAACTAAAAAATTGAAATATTTTGAAAGTTCGTTTTGATGACACCCCTAAAAAATTTCTGGATCCGCCTCTGTTGATCCTTACAAGCATTTAAAAAAAACAAAATAAAGAAAGGGGTAGTATTTTACTTCTATTTACTCGAAGTTATTTTAATTTACTTATGTTATCAAACATTTCTTCTATAAAAGGATATAATAAGCAAGCTGTGTATTGGACTCTGTGTATTGTGTATATCATACGCTAATAGATATAAACAAGTCTAAATTGAAAACAACGTTCAAACCTATGATTGCGTTGGATAAAAACCGCAATATTTTATACGTGTGCATGCAAAACAATTTCTTGGTAGAGGGGTCTAAATACAGCACAAACAATATTTTCCTAAAGACCAAAAAAGTGAAAAAGTATATTTTAACAAAACGCATTTGACTAACAGGTCGAATATCTGATGTTTAGCAGGCACTTAATTCCACTGAAAACATCGGATTTGTTCATTATCTGAAAGTAAGAGTCGTTTTGTGCGCGCCACTATTTGATTGACATATTTAATTCATGAAAAGGACCGTTAAGTTTCATTGGTCAGCATTTAACCTTTGACGTGTGTATAACAAATCCTATCTATAGCTACGCTTTTCGTGCATTAACTACGTTAATTAGTAAAAGGCGTGTCGTATTTATAGCTTATTCAAAAATCATAGTTTCATTCTATTCACACAGAGCGCTTTTTCCATATATTATCCATACACTCTGAAAATTTTCGTAAACCTGTAGCTTAATTGTCGGTATTCCTATGGGAACGAACTGTGCGCCTCTCCTTGCCGACCTCTCCTTGCCGTTCATATGAGTGGGAGTTCCTTCCGACACTTATCAAAAACAAGAAGATCAAAGAAGCGAAATCATTTAATTTTACATTCAGATATATTGATGATGTTCTTTCCATTAACAATCCAACTTTTCAGATTGGGTTCAATTAATATATTCTCCAGAACTAAAAATTAAAGAAACAACAGACACGGCTTCCTCAGCCTCATTTTTAGACTTATACCTCGAATTTGACATAAGTGGTCATCTCAGTACCAGAATCTATGACAAACGACACGATTTTAATTTTGAAATTATAAATTTTCCCCAACTTAGCAGCAATATACCAACTTCACCTGCATATGGAATATACATTTCCCAACTCATTCGGTATCCAAGAGCTTGCAGCTGCTACTCAGACTTTATCAAACGTCACCAGTGTCTGAGCAGAAAGCTGATGAACCAGGATTATGTCAAAGAACGTCTTGTCCTTTTTCTAAAAAAAATAGTTCATCGGAAGATACCAAGACCTTGTTGATAAATATTCTGTATCAACTCCACAAATAATACATGATAGTCTTGAAGTATAGATTCTAAGTTCTGGCGTGGTTTATCATCTTAACTATGTGTTTTGATGTTCTTTTATTTGTCTTTGTATACTTTTAATCTTTACTGTTAGGTCCATTTTTGGTAATATACATTTTTACCAATTATGTCGGTTTGTTTTGCTCACTGTTGTCAATATAATGGAATTCTATGCGACTGTCATAAAAGTGAGAGGTTAAGCTAGCTATAAAACCAGGTTTAATCCACCAGTTTCTACATTAGGAAATGCCTGCACCAAGTCATGAATATGATAGTTGTTTTCCATTCGTTTGATGTGTCACAAGTTGAGTTTTTGATTTTTCCATTTGATAAAGGGCTTTCCGTTTTAAATTTTCCTTGGAGTTCGATATTTTTGTTATTTCACTTTTTAAATGAATCTACGTGTCCAATACGTTTTATTGAATTTTGAAAATATCATGATGAACACTACATTTTGGAAAAACCTGACAAAAAATCCATCGATTTTAATTTGACAAGTTCCCTCCACCTAAAGTTGTAATTGTAGTTCCGGCCAACTTGAAACATGCTGGATAATTTTTCATTTTAGTTGTCAAGGGCGACAGATTGTATTTTCCCATTGATTTTTTTTTATAGATTCAAGAATTTAAGTTACTGATTATGAAAAAAAATAAAATGAGGTTTTATTCTTTAAAACTGAAAACTGTGACTACTTCATATTCAGTTTCAGCTGAAAACAAACATTTCCTATATACATATATATATAAATATATAAATAGCATATACTGTTAAAAGGAAAATATTACGAGGAATAACCATATATCTATATATATGGGCTTAGGAAAGATTAGTATGTTAACTTTCTGCGACTCTTTTCACAAAAAATCTTAAGAGTAAAAATACTCGTAAGTCATACACATTTCAGTATAACTTACGATTAATTTTAATCGTAAGATTTTTTGTGAAAAGAGTCGCTGATTCTTAAAAGATCTTGAAAAAGTGTATTCAATCCCGGATCTGTCACGTTTCCGCTTTCTGCATAAGTTTTAACATTAGTATTTGTACTGGTAATAAAGTACATTGAGCGATAAGAATAAAAGGTAACGAATTCGTGAAACCAGTCAAAATTCAGCATGGCGGTCGTCGAAAAGTTCATCCAGGATGTAGCAGACAATTTAGGGGCTTCAGAAATGGCCATACGGTTTCTGTTATCGTTGTTTGCAGGTAACATTCAAAACAATATTATGAAAGTTTTGTTTTACAAAGTTTACTTTGTAATGTCATAATTACTATTTAAGATAAGATAAGATATCTAAGGTAAATTTTTGGACTGGAGACTTTGTAACAGCCTGACACTTGCGTAATAAGTACTCTTAGCTGCTTAGGTCAACATGCCCTTGACACTTGTTGGAATTTTAAATGGATAATTTAAAATAAGAATTCTTCGTCCTAAATGATGTATTTGTCCCAAGCCACTGATCAGAGGTGAAGAGTTCAATTATCAATATCAGTCTAGTAATCCACCATCTTCCACAAAGGTTCATTTTTCTAGGTGTTTTTGATACAAGACAGATGTTACTAGTAAAAAAGTAGTCTGAGATTGCTCTAGCATCTTTACCACTTTTTATGGGCTTGTTTGGTCCTTTGGACATCAGAGCAAGGCCCATTTACAGTAAGGGCAGAGTCATATTTCTTTAGATGTCCTAATCCATCAAGATTTTAGACTGGTCCAATAGTTGTCAGAGTGTAATTAACACATGCTGTGATATTACCAGTGTAATACATGTACCTGCTGGAGGGTTGTAAATCAATCTGAAGTTGATTGCAGAGTTCACGAAAACTTATTTTGACCCGTCGGTCATGGGACCGACAAAGCATGATTATTTGTCAGTCCTACAAAATTTTAGCCAGTCCTACAAAATCTGTCAATTTTATCCTGAAATAAAATTAATAACATATTTTATCGAAAAATAACTTTATTAATATTAGTTTTATTCTTCGCACCCACAGGCAAATTAACAATGAAGGACCAGTTCAAGTCTTCTGATTGTTCTTATTTAAAGTCATCTTCGAATTCACTATCCATTTCATCATCTGAATCACTTTCTCAGCTGTTACAGTATTTGTTTGCTCCATTGTAGGGTTCAATCGCCGATTGTTTGCCAGGGATGGCTCTATGAACAAATTTAGTAGGCCACGTGTAGATCGCCGCTTTGGTTTGTTTATAATAAATCCGTAAACCAGTACCAGAAATTGGCAGTGGGTACATCTGATAACAGATGTAAACACTTATTGGAAACAGTTGCGGCTCATCTAATAACCGATGTAAAACAGTGCTGAAATATGCACTACAATGGCCATTTTTACATCAGTCATCAGGACCAGCACTAGCCTTCAAAATACTGGTCCAAACCTCATTTTGACCAACAGGACCGACCATTTTCGCGAACTCTTTGATTGATAAATTCTAATCTCAATTGAACAGATATTTTACCATTTACAGAGGATACATTGTAGATACAACGTACATAGGGGGTTTCGTTGGAGGGGTCTGATCCCTGAATCCTGTATCCCTCTTGTTGTTTTGTCAGAATCCCATATCCCGTTTATCATTGCAATAATAGCGCTTGTTATTTCAAGTGTCCAGCCCCGACTTCATTTCCCTTTTTCACACAAAATAATTTGACTTTCACGTGTCACGCTTACAAAAAATTGGCTATTCCCGTGTCACACTTAGACCTCAATGAGACCCACTACATATCGTTTACAGAAAACCTAATGGAAGAATTCAAAAATAGCAAAACATTCAACAAATGACCGAACGACACATTAATTCACGAATGCACTTAGAGCATGAATTAATTATCAGTGTTGTTCGGACACCAGTTGAATCTTACATTTATATTTTCAATACTTGAATTCTATGATTTGTTATTCTTTTTTTTTATATTTTCACTGTCAACTCTTTAATGGAAATAGAGTGGAAAATTCAAGGAGCTATATGGTTTTCTAACACTCATTGTTGTATGATGTCATGGAAGTGAATTATCGACTTTTGATTAATGGGAAATCACAGTATTTCAGTTGAACCAATATAATTAATTGTGTTAATGAAGAGATTAACACTTAATTATAAAATGCACTGTATTTCCCAAATTAAAAAGTTGATAAAATTCTTATTGTAAATTCTTAATAAACAATGATTTACAATGATTTATGAGTACAAAATAATGTTTCATCCCAGGCAAGGGAACTCATCAGGTGGCTTTTGCACTGACTATAGCATTGCAATCATTACATTTTGCACTGGTTTTGTTGTTGTCTCATATTGAATAGAAGTTCTAAATAGGGTATTTAGGTTTCAGTTAGGTGCTTTGGGTCAAGGTGGTTGTACTATGTGTATGTAAATATTGATTAGGTAAAGGTAAAATTTATACTACACAATATATTTTTTGGTTTAAACCATAAATTACAGAAGCCATAAGACATGTAAGAGTAAAGGTCCTTCATACCTTCCATTTCCTGCATGAAGATGATTTTTGTTTCACAGTTAATAGACAGGAAATATTTTATTGTTTAAGTGAGTCTTCAAATATCACTTTTATTACTTTCAACCCATGTTTTGTCATCATTTATTGGGGGCTGTTGTTTTAGTAATTAATTTTTCACACCTAGCAATGCCAGGTGATAGGTAATAAGGGTTTACTCCTGGTTTGCCCACTTTTAATTACACCAATTATTTATTAGTAAAGAAAACAAAAAAGACAAAAGGTTTAATGAGCATACAATTATATAGTCTGTTCCAACTTATGTATATAGTTTATCAGTGTTTCCTATATATATTCAGGTATGTTTATTTTGTAATTCCATTTTCATAAATGTATAGATAAATTATAAATATCATATATTTTTTTCTCTCAATAATTTAACTTACATTGTAAACAATGACACTAGCCTGTTTTAAAAGTAATATAAAGTATATTTAAAAAAAACTAAACAAATTTCATGCATAGGGTTTTGTGGCCGCTGAAGGCCCGAAGAAGCTATAGAAGAAAAATGTATGCAAAATCATGCATTCTGCGCATTTCCCAGAACCTTTCTTGATCAAAAATGCAAGTTCTGTTTTAATTATTTTTTGACAATATTTTGGTCTCAAGGCAAAATATATAGTTTCAGTGTAAGACTTTTAGTCATCAAAAGACCAATATGTAGGATAAAGCAAAAACAAGTAGTTCACATATAGTTTTATGGATGTGGCTGCTATTTTTTTTTAGATAAAAAATCCTTAAAAAAAATAAAAGTTAGGTTAATTTTTTTTTACAAAATTACAAATAGAACATGTAGAAAGCAACACTAAGAGAATAAAGTAAATGTTCCTAAGACAATATACCTAAGTTAAATGAAACCCATTTTCAGACATTTAATTCAAGTAAATTAATATATATACATTATATTATTTAAAGATTTGGGAAATTTTTCCCTAAAAAGAATGAAAAAGACGAATTTTGGAAGAATCTGGTGCCATCTCATACTTTAGAATAGCATTTATAAAATGGCTTAAAAGACCTGCCATTTTCAATACATTTTAAGTCAGTTTATTTATTTTCAAACTACTACAGGACAAACCATTATTTTTTTCTTATTATCAAGGCTGAGTTATTTATTTTCAAACCCCCCCCTACAATATCCAACGGTCGTCACCTAATATATGAATCAAGTTTATAAATGCATTGCATAAGGAAATAAATAGAGCACTATGGTAAAATAACAATCTGTTTTTTTTAAAGAAGAAAATGCTAGCTTGGATGCAGATTACTGTTCAAGTTATTTCATTTGTAAAGCTTGGCTACTGAACAGTTGCATTTTTATTCTATTTGTTAGAATTTATTGTCAAATTCAATACATTTTCCTGATAAAAACTATATTAAAACTTTTGAACATTTTCATTGATTTAATAGCAGAATATATAGTATTTGATGAATTTTTACAGGTAAAATAAAAGGTAAAAAATATGACTATAATTCAGAAATAAACTATAATTGTTAAAACAACAATCCACCCTATGTTTACATATGCATGTAATTAAAAGTGGGCAAACCAGGATGACACCGGTAATAAGACACCTATAACTTAATTTACCTGTAAAAATTATGCATTTTCAATAAAAATATCTTGATTGAAAAATGTCGTTTTTATTAATTTGTCAATTCTTTATATATATCTAAAATATGCAATATCATAACTTATATAAGAACTAAATTAGTAGACCTTGTATAAGTGTTGAAAATGAATAAAACATATCAAGTTCATTCATTTATTTCAGCTGAAACATGCTAAAAGATAAATGTTTGAATATATCTTACTTTGTATCAAGTTTTTACTTCAATAAATAGTAAAAACCACCATGAAAATTTCAATTGACCAGTATTTGCCAGTATTGACCACTTAAGGAGTATTGTCCAGGGCAGTACATGTAAATACCAGTAAATACAGCCAGTAAATACCAGGGTCGGTATTTACCGCCCAACCTTGGTGTATAACAATAAATATATTCTTAAAAAAGTTGAGCATGTTAAGGCTATATTTTCATTGAAGCCAGGAAGTGGAATTGAATCGTATACATTTGTAGGATTGTAGGTATGCTATATTTACATTGTAGCCTGGAGGTGGAATTGAATCTTATAGGATTGTGAGTATGCTATATTTGGTAAACGGACAGAAAGTCACAGGACAAAAAGTCACAGGACATAAAGTCACAAATTTGATAGGACAAAAAGTCACAGGACAAAAAGTCACAAATAATTTGTTGACAATTTTTGTCTAGCCTGCGACTTTTGTCGCAGAAAGCTCGACATAAGGATAGTGATCCGGCGGCGGCGGCGTAAGCTAACTTCTCATTTAAAAGCTTTATATTTTAGAAGGTGGAAGATCTTGATGCTTGATACTTTGTATATGGATGCCTCAAGTTACGAAGTTTCCGTCAGTTACATGTCCAATGTCCCTGACCTCATTTTCATGGTTCAGTGACTACTTGAAAAAAAAGTGAAGATTTTTTGTAATGTTAAATTCTCTCTTATTATAAGTAATGGGTTAACTATATTTGGTATGTGCGTAACTAACAAGGTCCTCATGCCTGTCAGATAGTTTTCATTTGACCTCGACCTCATTTCATGGATCAGTGAACAAGGTTAATTTTTGGTGGTCAAGTCCATATCTCAGATACTATAAGCAATAGGTCTCGTATATTTGGTGTATGGAAGGACCGTAAGGTGTACATGTCCAGCTGGCAGGTGTCATCTTACCTTGACCTCATTTTCATGGTTCAGTGGTTATAGTTAAGTTTTTGTGTTTTGGTCTGTTTTTCTTATACTGTATGCAATAGGTCTACTATATTAGGTGTATGGACTGATTGTAAGGTGTACATGTCTAGCTGGCAGGTGTCATCTGACCTTGACCTCATTTTCATGGTCCAGTGGTTATAGTTAAGTTTTTGTGTTTTGGTCTGTTTTTCTTATACTGTATGCAATAGGTCTACTATATTTGGTGTATGGAATGATTGTAAGGTGTACATGTCTAGCTGGCAGGTGTCATCTGACCTTGACCTCATTTTCATGGTTCAGGTGTCAAAGTTAAGTTTTTGAGTTTTGGTCTTTTTTTCTAATACTGTATGCAATAGGTCTACTATATTTGGTGTATGGAATGATTGTAAGGTGTACATGTCTAGCTGGCAGGTGTCATCTGACCTTGACTTCATTTTCATGGTTCAGTGGTCAAAGTTAAGTTTTTGAGTTTTGGTCTTTTTTTCTAATACTATATGCAATAGTTCAACTATATTCATGATATTTGGTGTATGGAAATATTTTATGATCCAAATGTCAGTCACGCAGATTTTATGTGACCTTGACCTCATTTTCAAGGTTCATTGCTCAGTGTTCAGTTTTTGTGTTTTGGTCTGTTTTTTCTTAAACTATAAGCTAGCAATAGGTCAACTATATTTGTTGTATGGAAGAATTGTTAGCTGTACATGCCTGCCTAGTATGGTTCATCTGACCTTGACCTCATTTTCATGGTTCATTGGTCAATGTTTAGTTTACTTGGTTAATGTTAAGTTTATGTGACAGTTGTAAAAAAGCTTTATATTTAGGACTATCAACATAATATCAATGATTAGTAAAGAAGGCGAGACATTTCAGTGTGTGCACTCTTGTTTTAATATATAAGAGAAAAATCTTGAAATATTTTCTTTTTATTACATATGTTTATTTTTAAGTTTAGGAAATTGTTCATAGGCCTTGATAAATCAAAATTTATTAGATTTTAATCATGCAAAGGATATATTTCTTGGCACAATGAAGCCATTTAAGTACCAAGCCACTTTGACATTTTGTTTTCATAACAATTATTAAATCATTATTGATATTTATTGAATAAATTTTAATTACAAGGTTGCTTTATATATAATACTTCCAAGAAAAAACAAAAAAAATATTTTTAAAATTAGTGTATTCTTGTTCGAAGAAAAATAATCTCAAAACTGAATTGTGACTTTTTGTCCTGTGACTTTTTGTCCTGTGACTTTCTGTCCTACATTCCTATATTTACATTGTAGCCAGGAAGTGGAATTGAATCTTATAGGATTGTAAGTATGCTATATTTACATTGTAGCCTGGAGGTGGAATTGAATCTTTTAGGATTGTAAGTATGCTATATTTACGTTGTAGCCAGGAAGTGGAATTGAATCGTATAGGATTGTAAGTATGCTATATTTACATTGTAGCCAGGAAGTGGAATTGAATCTTATAGGGTTGTAAGTATGCTATATTTACATTGTAGCCTGGAGGTGGAATTGAATCGTATAGGATTGTAAGTATGCTATATTTACGTTGTAGCCAGGAAGTGGAATTGAATCTTATAGGATTGTAAGTATGCTATATTTACGTTGTAGCCAGGAAGTGGAATTGAATCGTATAGGATTGTAAGTATGCTATATTTACATTGAAGCCAGGAAGTGGAATTGAATCGTATAGGATTGTAAGTATGCTATATTTACGTTGTAGCCAGGAAGTGGAATTGAATCTTATAGGATTGTAAGTATGCTCTATTAACATTGTAGCCAGGAAGTGGAATTGAATCTTATAGGATTGTAAGTATGCTATATTAACATTGTAGCCAGGAAGTGGAATTGAATCTTATAGGATTGTAAGTATGCTATACTTTATCACTTTGCTGACTTGACTGGTTCTTTAACAGCAGTTGGAAAAAAAATCGGACCAGTTGAACAGTTTGATTTAATGAACATGATGAAACAAATTGCAATTTGTTCAGAATTTTTAATGAACTGCAATAGGTGGACATCAAAGAAATTGTCAAACTTTTCTCCAGTGCTTTACTGAACAGAAGGACTTCGTATTTAGTCAGCAGGTTGGCAGTGGTAAGTTGAAATGTGGGAGAGCTTTTCTGATCTTTCAGACAACTACAATGTATTTTATTACCTGGCTTTCATGTGTTTTGGTCATGTTGGTTGGAGTGAACTCTTGATGAAGGTACATTTCTGGAGTTTGTTATTTTCATCTATATCCTGTTTTCTGATGCTTTGAAATATTAGTGTGGGTATGCTTAGCTTGACAAGTTGTCATTGACAACACATGTATTCTTGTTATTTTGGAAAAATTCCTGCAAACTATTGTAGACCATGTAATTATTTTCATGAATGAACAAACAAACAAAAATGCTGCAAAATTTTGTTGAGTTTCTTTCAAAATTAAGTTATATGTTTTCTGGTATTTTTATATGACATGAACTGATAAATGTATATATATGCATTGTTTTACATTTGTCAATTCGGGGCCTTTTATAGCTGACTATGCAGTATGGGTTTTACTCATTGTTGAAGGCCGTACAGTGACCTATAGTTGTTAATTTCTGTGTCATTTGATCTCTTGTGGAGAGTTGTCTCATTGGCAATCATTCCACATCTTCTTATTTTTATATGTCATAGTACAAAATGTATATGTATGTTTATATTTTTTTCAGGTTATCCACTAGCTTTCCTGTATAGAAGTTTTATATTTGGTAGATCACCTAACATACAACATATATATTTTACTATCTGTGGACTTTCTCTTTGTTACTTTAACTATGGTATGTATTTAACATGTATAAAAATATGTTAAGTTTGAAAAAGAAAAAAATCAAATTAATTTTCTGTCATTTCATATGTTGCAAAATCCAAGCATTCGGTTTTTTCGAGGTTTGGTCCTTCGATTGGTAATGTTGGGCAGTTAAATCTTCCCTGTGTTCGTATTCTTTTTCATGGTCTTGTGCAATGAATTTAGATGTTTTAAAAGTGTAAAACTTTCATATAAAGACAGACACACACAAAATATATCCAATATACAGTATTCCATTTCAGAAAGTAGTAAGATGCGTTCTAAGTTCCATAAATTAATAACAAAGTACTAAACAATAACACTTCATATACATCAATGAGTCAGCAATTTAATAACATAGAAATAAAAAAAAAATAGCATGAATCTCTTCATACAGGGATCAACATGGACTGACAAGTGTCTAATATTACATATCATTATTCTCCTGACTCTACATACAGGCTTCAACATGGTCTGACAAGTGTCTAATATTACATATCATTATTCTCCTGACTCAACATACAGGCTTCAACATGGACTGACAAGTGTCTAATATTACATATCATTATTCTCCTGACTCTACATACAGGGATCAATATGGTCTGACAAGTGTCTAATATTACATATCATTATTCTCCTGACTCTACATACAGGCTTCAACATGGTCTGACAAGTGTCTAATATTACATATCATTATTATCCTGACTCTACATACAGGGATCAATATGGTCTGACAAGTGTCTAATATTACATATCATTAGTCTCCAGACTCTACATACAGTCTTCAACATGAACTGACAAGTGTCTAATATTCCATATCATTATTCTCCTGACTCTACATACAGGCTTCAACATGGACTGACAAGTGTCCAATATTACATATTTTTATTCTCCTGACTTTACATACAGGGATCAACATGGACTGACAAGTGTCCAATATTACATATCATTATTCTCCTGACTCTACATACAGGCTTCAACATGAACTGACAAGTGTCCAATATTACATATCATTATTCTCCTGACTCGACATACAGGCTTCAACATGAATGACAAGTGTCCAATATTACATATCATTATTCTCCTGACTCTGCATACAGGGATCAACATGGACTGACAAGTGTCCAATATTACATATCATTATTCTCCTGTCTCTACATACAGGGATCAACATGGACTGACAAGTGTCCAATATTACATATCATTATTCTCCTGACTCTACATACAGGCTTCAACATGAACTGACAAGTGTCCAATATTACATATCATTATTCTCCTGACTCGACATACAGGCTTCAACATGAACTGACAAGTGTCCAATATTACATATCATTATTCTCCAGACTCTACATACAGGCTTCAACATGAACTGACAAGTGTCCAATATTACATATCATTATTCTCCTGACTCTACATACAGGGATCAACATGGACTGACAAGTGTCTGATATTACATATCATTATTCTCCTGACTCTACATACAGCCTTACAGGCTTCAACGTGGACTGACAAGTGTCCAATATTACATATCATTATTCTCCTGACTCTACATACAGGGATCAACATGGACTGACAAGTGTCTAATATTACATATCATTATTCTCCTGACTCTACATACAGGCTTCAACATGAACTGACAAGTGTCCAATATTACTTATCATTATTCTCCTGAATTTGATACCTTGTCTAATGCTTGTCTTGTTGCTGTATTTATTGTTAGCCTGTAGGCAATTAAAACAAAAAAATATCACATGAACCATTTTTTACCGTTTCATGCTTACTAATGATACATGTACATTGAACTTTATGCTTAAGAAATATTACACAGGGATTGAATTTATATTGATTTTACCTTAGGTCAGCCCTTAATGCTTAATATTTTACATCAAGCAATAGTAATTCATTCCCTGATCATGTGTTTTTCTGCAGATGCCTTTGATTTATGACCAGATAAAATATCTATTTCAGGTACAGATGCTGTACATTCCATGATCAATATAGCTGTCACATACATTTTACTGCTTGTATGTCCTGGTACAAAGTTTTCAATATTATTTGGATTTATATTTAATTCAGTAAGTATCAGGTACATAGAAGTGCCCTAAACAGTTTATGTAAGAGTAAGACAGGGAGCTCAAGGGGGAGTAAAATTTTCTAAGTAAATGGAAAGATCTTTTTATAGATGATGTTTTGGAATGGTGCATCAGAATTATATTTGTAACTACATACATATATTATGTATGTTCTTTTTAAAATTTCTATTTCTTTATTATCTTTATTTGTTTTAGGTTACTTACATTCCATTAGTTTAAAATATACAGCTTGTATGAATTAATACTTTATTTAAGAAAGTTGCTTATTGGATATTTGTATTTTTTTTTACTTTCAGACAGTCAAGGGTATAACTTAATAAGTTATTAGAGAAAAATAACATACATTTGTTATTGTTGACTAAAAAGCGCAAAACTTACAGTAACTGGGATAACATATGTATGTTACATGTTTCAAAGGGGCAGTATACATCCTTTGTTTTGTTAAAATGTATACAAGTTCTATTGATATTATTATTGTCTATATGCATACAAAACTTTAGAAAGATATAGTTTGCCAATCATGCATATTACATCTATGTTATTACAGGAAAACTATACCTATTATAACAAAACGTTGTTATTACAGCTACTCTACATCACTTCAAAGCCTTAATGCTCAGACATCTATCATGCTTAATCACAGTGTATTTTGATTTATTGTAACAAATTATAATCAGAGCATAAAATGAGATACTTTGCTGGCTTCAAAGTAATTCCCAAGTGTCCCATTCTAAATTATATGCCTGTAAAAACTAAGCCTTGATATTACAGCTAAGTTTATCACTTAAAAGCCTTGTCTCATTGATTTACCATGGTTGATCAAAAATGATTTAATTTAATTGGAAAATGAGTTATCCAGTCTATGTATTAAGTTTTTGTGCAAAGTTTCAAGAATTCCTAGTTCCCAATAAAAAGTAAAATATTAAAGATTTGTTTTAACAAATAACAAACATACATGTATGTTATTATGGATTAAGAACATTTTAGGAATAAAGAGTAGACAACTCATGAAAGCATCAGTAATAACACATGGATGTTATTTTCTCTGAATAACTTATTTTAGTTATACCCTTGACTTGTCAACGTATAATTGTTCCGCCTAACAGAAGTTCCACTGGAAACTTTGTGATGAACAATGTCATAATACATCATAGTACATGTTCCTGTTGGAACAAACATTCTATACCATTTATTCCGTTAGGAACATATCCTGTAATATTTATTCCAGTGGAAAAAATATTCTAGAATATTTTTTCCATTTGGAACTTATATTATGAAGGAACTTCTATTTTGTGACATACTTATATTAATTACCCACACTAAAATTCCAACTTCTATAAGTACAAATGTTTAATGTATCATGTCAGATATTATTTCCCTGAATTGCAATGTTTTTATCATCTTACATCATTACTAAGATCCTGTTCAAAGTTTATTGAGAAAACATCACCAATATTTACATTCTGAATTTAACAGTTCTGTACTGCAAGTCTTGGCAAAAGATTTTATTCTTAGATCCTACTCTTTATGAATAATTGTTTTACATTGTCATTTCGGGGCCTTTTATAGCTGACTGTGCAATATGGGCTTTGCTCATTGTTGAAGGCCGTACGGTTACCTATAGTTGTTAATTTCTGTGTCAATTGGTCTCTTGTGGAGAGTTGTCTCATTGGCAATCATACCACATCTTCTTTTTTTACATTTAGCATATTACAATATTATAATTTGCTATTTAAAACAGAACTGTCATAACTGTAGAAATATATTGTTCTTTGTCATTTTCAGTAATATTTAATTGATAGATATATATTATACAACTGCATGGAGTGTGATAGGATATTTCTTGTCTTGACACAGTTAAATTCAATGTGAGGCTAATTCCAAGTGTTTCTGCAATTGTCATTTCAGAATTTTGTCATTCCAGAATTATGGGACTTCCAGTTTGACCCTCAGATTAAACTAAAGCATGTTTATGTTACATGTCATACACTAGTTCTAGTATGGCGGATCAGATTTCTACAAAACTACATTGTTGTTTATTAGATTTGGGGATTGTAGGCTTGCTTTGATTTTGATAAAAAAAATAAAAAATTTGACTTTATCTTTCCAGAATAAATTGACTTTTAACAGTCATATGTACGGCAAAATATTGCCGTAAGATATCCTCATGCAATAGCCATTTTACTAGTTTCTGATTAGATACCTTTAAATATTCTATTTTATTCTCACAACAATTAAAATATACACGTACATGACGTATGCACAAAACAGGCATATCATGCGCTTTTGGCACAGTTGTTTATAACTATCTTAGCAATGTATAATTCTAGCTAAAAATGTTTTTTTCTTACATGACAGTACATGTATGTATTCTTTGATACTGTTGTGTTTAACTTAATGTAATATTAAAAATACTGTATGGTTGATTATGGTCATCCACATCTGTCCAAATATTTTCAGTAAATTCTTTTAAGACAGCCATGTTTGCTGACAACCTTAATGTACAGGTATTGTTTTTGTTAGCTTTACCTCAAGTGTGTAATTTTATTTTTCAGTAAATTAAGTAGTCATGAACATAGATATATCTGTACAGCTTAGAGTTTATTAAAATCTATTTTGAGATTAAGAAAGCACTGATTTTGATTCCTAGTTTGGTCCTTTATTTGTAGTAATGACACATGTCACTTTAATTTGTAGTAATGACACATGTCACTTTAATTTGTAGTTGTATTTAGTGATAGCATATTATAAATATACAGATCAGACATTGACCTGGACTACACCACAATGTGTTATTTGTCTTCGATTGACCGCTGTTGTTTTTGATGTCTACGATGGTAAAAAGAGTAAGGTAAGATAATTGACAATTGTGCACAAACCTGTAGCCAGGTGTTTTCGATTGACCCCACTCTGAAAACAAAACATACTATTGAATAAGAGATTCGAATTAAAGTCAATATTCAATCATGTCTTGGACATACAGGCTTATAATTTTGTTAAATTAGAAATTGATATGAAAATTTATCATAATGAATGTTGCAATATATCAAAAACATTTAAAATTTGTACCTGTAATATTCTTCAACTGTGTGTACAATTGCATTTGTGTAATATTAAATTATGTGAAAAAGAATTTTCCTTTTCATACAAGCATGACAAAAATACAGAAATATTTGCAATTAAATTTAAAATTAAGAATACGTGATTTGATTACACGGAATTTTTCCCAAAACGTCCACAAAGAGTTTTTTACACCCCAAAAAAAATATTGATTTCATTATTTTCAAATGTGTAACTATTTAATATTAAATACCATGGATGTAGTCAGGGAACTTATGCAAAGGACTGATAGATTTGTCATAGAAACACTTACTAGAAGTCAAGATGAAACAATAATTGACATGTAGTTTAGGAAGCACATACATACTGATAGTAGGGACCTTTTTTTTAAAATGTTCACAGGAGACCTTAAACTGAGATGTGATAATGATAGGAATGTCTACTTTTTGACTCTTAGTCTTAGTGGAGGAAGATTTTTAGTGTACAAGAATTTATAATATCATTTCCATGTAGTATTTATATTCTACCAATACCACATTGTTGCTGCTTTGTGACATGGTACGAGCACAAAACCCTTACACAATACTTAGAGATCAATAGAAATTCTAGTATTAAATCATTATTTTAACTTCAAAATTTTTTTTTCGAAATGTTGTGAATACTTTTCATTCATTTATTGAAATAAGTTTCAGGGTTTTTTCAGATTTATTCCATTTACACAAATTTTTACAAAAGGATGAAAGAACATCTTTAGTTACTTGGTCACACTTAATTTATTTTTGATGGTAGACTATATAATTGTCCTTTTTTCAAAGTGTTTATGACTTCACAGTCTTCTTAGTTTTTTTTAATTTCCTTTTTCAATTTTTGGGGAAAGACGGCTTCAAGCAGTCAATCCCCTATTTGGTTGGCCAGACTTCCAAGCTTCTCACGTCAATCATTTTGTTTTTATAGTTGGGAAAACACCTCAAAATTTCATACTGAATTGATGAGAAGGAGACACACAAATGGAACAGATTGACTTTAAACACTTTTTTTTACACATTTCCCTTCTGTTTCTCGTGAAATTATTGTATCTTGAGCTCTCCCTTACACTATTTACGTTTCTTTTACAATCCGGAAAAATCAGTATTACCAAATATTCTAAATATATCCAACCTAGTGACGTCATGGTTGGAATTCCACACTACGTAGTAGAAGGGATATCCTTTACTCATTATTAAAATCATTCACAGAAATCGTGTACGATTTTAAAAATCGGTATTTGTTTATTTAAACATAATTATGTTTGCTGTAGATGATTCCAGCATCAATGCTTTAATTTGTAGGTCAACTTTCGGGGTAAACAATGGGGATACATGAGATTGGGGAGAGAAACGACAGTTTTCATTCTTTCTGTAACTGTATTGAGAATCTTCTTCCAATACAGGAGCACCCCAATTGATTAGTAATTATCCACCAAAATAAAAGTTAATGTATCTGAACACTTAAAATGTGACATTTATTATAAACAAGGAATTATTTGGATCTGGAATAATTTTGAATTCTGGAAAATTGAGTAATTTATGATGAAAACTAACCCAACTAAATAGGGTTAGCCATGCGCGCATGGCTAAGGGGGGTTAGTTAGTTCATACTGAAATGATAGTGAAATTAAAATTAACCTTAGCCATGCGCGCATGGCTAACCCTATTTAGTTGGGTTAGTTTTCAGCATACATTTCTAATCAATTTTCCAGAATTCATAATTATTCCAGATTCAAATAATTCTTTGTTTATATGATAAGTAGTCTTCCATTTAAACAAAACTTTGTGTACCAGCATAATGGTAAAAAAATTATAAAATTTTCAAATGTTGCTTTTTGTAGTTTAAACATATTTATTCATGAAATTTGCATATATCAAAATGTAGGATCTTGAAACAAGCTGCACACAGCTTATATCAATCTGATTGATTATTTTAAGTACATGTATTCCTGTGATGAGAGTTGTAACTGGGAACTTTATCAATGGAAATTTAAAACTGAATAGACTTTTCAGTCCTCACTTACTTGAGAAAGTTGTAATCAATTAAAAATCTTGAGAGCACTGTCACAAAAATGGAGAATGACCCTAGCCTGCAGTTCAGTGGTACACAAAAAAAAAATTAAAATATATTGTAGAACTTATTAAATGATAGAATTCAATTGAATTTTAGATAATTAACTTTCAACTTTAATCAAATGTTTTGATTTAGAAGGTGCCGATCTCTTCCATTGGTCCAAATTGACTCTATGATGAATTCTTGACTAAGGCAATGAAATTACATTAAACAACAATTAATTTCAATATTGTCAACCTTTCTACATGTTCTAGCTGTTCTTTTGCTCATTCTTTGTATGAAGACTATCAAAAGATACCCCAAAAAAATAGAAACAATGGCCGTCTTTTCCCTCAGAGCTCTTAAGCTCTTTGATTTGTGAATATGTACATAGAAAATTCAGTGTTGATATTTTCATTTGAAGAAGTATTTTTTGTCTTTTACTGATTTAGAACCAAGAATTCATTTTTATACGACCGCAAAAAAATTTTTGTGGTCGTATATTGGTATGACGATGGCGTCGTCGTCGTCGTCGTCCGGCGTCGTCATCGTCCTGCGTCGTCGTCCGAAGACGCATTAGTTTTCGCACTCTAACTTTAGTTTAAGTGAATGGATCTCTATGAAATTTTACCATAAGGTTCAATACCACAAAAGGAAGGTGGGGATTGATTTTGGGGGTTATGGTACCAACAGTTAAGGAATTAGGGGCCAAAAAGGGGCCAAAAATAAGCATTTTCTAGTTTCCAGACAATAACTGTGGAACGGTGTATGGATCTCTCTGAAATTATACTACAAGTTTCCATACCACAAAGGGATGGTTAGGATTTGCTTTGGGGGGTTATTGCTCCAACCGTTTAAGAATAAGGGGCAAAAAAGGGGGAAAAACAAGGTTGTCCTCATTAATGGACAAATACTTTAGTACAAAACATAATTTAAAGCAGTGTAAGGGAGATAAATCAAATACATCATTGAAATTATCTCCCTTACACTGCTTTTAAATTATGTATAAAGTAATGGTTAATGAACAATTAAGATAATTTAAAACAGTGTAAGGGAGGTAATCCAAATACAATGTTTTGGTTACTTCCCTTACACTGCTTTTAAATTATGTTTAAAGAAATGCATATTTATAAAGGAAGACCAGTATGGCGCATTAGATTTGTAAAATCTTTGACCACATTTATTTATTTGTTATGCCGAATCTAACCGTGTATTTAGATTTTTAATTTTGGGTCCAGTTTTCAAATTGGTCTACATTAAGGTCCAAAGGGTCCAAAATTAAACTTTGTTTGATTTTAACAAAAATTGAATATATGGGGTTCTTTGATATGCTGAATCTAAACATGTATTTAGATTTTTTGATTTTTGGCCCAGTTTTCAAGTTGGGTCCAAATTGGGGTCCAAAATTAAACTTTGTTTGATTTCAACAAAAATTGAATATATGGGGTTCTTTGATGTGCTGAATCTAAACATGTATTTAGATTTTAGATTTTTGGCCCAGTTTTCAAGTTGGGTCCAAATTGGGGTCCAAAATTAAACTTTGTTTGATTTCAACAAAAATTGAATATATGGGGTTCTTTGATATGCTGAATCTAACCATGTATTTAGATTTTTTATTTGGGGACCCTGCTATCAAATTGGTTCATATTGAGGTCAAAAGGGTCCAAAATTAAACTTTGTTTGATTTCATCAAAAATTGAATTATTGGGGTTCTTTGATATGCCAAATCTAACCGTGTATTTAGATTTTTAATTTTGGGTCCCGTTTTTTAAATTGGTCTACATTAAGGTCCAAAGGGTCCAAAATTAAACTTAGTTTGATTTTAACAAAAATTGAATTCTTGGGGTTCTTTGATATGCTTAATCTAAACATGTGTTTAGATTTTTGATTATGGGCCCAGTTTTCAAGTTGGTCCAAGTTGGGGTCCAAAATTAAACTTTGTTTGATTTCAACAAAAATTGAATATATGGGGTTCTTTGATGTGCTGAATCTAAACATGTATTTAGATTTTAGATTTTTGGCCCAGTTTTCAAGTTGGTCCAAATTGGGGTCCAAAATTAAACTTTGTTTGATTTCAACAAAAATTGAATATATGGGGTTCTTTGATATGCTGAATCTTACCATGTATTTAGATTTTTTATTTGTGGGCCCGCTATCAAATTGGTTCATATTGAGGTCAAAAGGGTCCAAAATTAAACTTTGTTTGATTTCATCAAAAATTTAATTATTGGGGTTCTTTGATATGTCAAATCTAACCATGTATTTAGATTTTTAATTTTGGGTCCCGTTTTTTAAATTGGTCTACATTAAGGTCCAAAGGGTCCTAAATTAAACTTAGTTTGATTTTAACAAAAATTGAATTTTTGGGGTTCTTTGATATGCTGAATCTAAACATGTGTTTAGATTTTTGATTATGGGCCCAGTTTTCAAGTTTGTCCAAGTTGGGGTCCAAAATTAAACTTTGTTTGATTTCAACAAAAATTGAATATATGGGGTTCTTTGATATGCTGAATCTTTCCATGTATTTAGATTTTTTATTTGTGGGCCCGCTATCAAATTGGTTCATATTGAGGTCAAAAGGGTCCAAAATTAAACTTTGTTTGATTTCATCAAAAATTGAATTATTGGGGTTCTTTGATATGCCAAATCTAACTGTGTTTTTAGATTTTTAATTTTGGGTCCCGTTTTTCAAATTGGTCTACATTAAGGTCCAAAGGGTCCAAAATTAAACTTAGTTTGATTTTAACAAAAATTGAATTCTTGGGGTACTTTGATATGCTTAATCTAAACATGTGTTTAGATTTTTGATTATGGGACCAGTTTTCAAGTTTGTCCAAGTTGGGGTCCAAAATTAAACTTTGTTTGATTTCAACAAAAATTGAATATATGGGGTTCTTTGACATGCTGAATATAACCATGTATTTTGATTTTGGACATTGGACCATAATAGGTAAATTAAAAAAAAATTGAAGTTCTTAGACCACATTCTTTCTGTGTCAGAAACCTATGCTGTGTCAAATATTTAATCACAATCCAAATTCAGAGCTGTATCAAGCTTGAATGTTGTGTCCATACTTGCCCCAACTGTTCAGGGTTCGACCTCTGCGGTCGTATCAAGCTACGCCCAGCGAAGCATTTTATTATTTATTATATCTTAAAATTTTGTCTTATATGTAAAAAAATTGATATAAAACTAAGCCATTGCATGTGAATTTTTAAATTGCTTTTGAATACAACTTTGATTAACTGCAGATATTTCAAATAAAATTTTTTGACCTGCATTTTATTACCAAAGAATTTTGTTAGAATATTTATATTACTGGTACATAGGGTTTTCCACCATGATGTTGATTTCAACATTTGTTAAGCACTGATTAGTATGGAAATGTTCCCTTTATTTTATTTCTTAAGGAGAGCAATGATATAATGTATTACTGTAAATTCAGAAATTATTGCATGCATTTATTATTGCAATTTTTGAAGAATGAAATAAAATGCGAGATTAATTATTGCGATATTTGGAAAATGTGCATACAGATATATGTATCAGATATCAGGATGCAAGTTCTTATTACTGCAATACTCATCCAGTCTCATTATTCGCAATAATATAAACCTCACAATAATTTCTAAATTTACAGTAAGTGACTTATCCTTTAATGTTGCTTAACATTACAGGAAAAACTGTCAGAAGATCAGAAAGAATCAGCCATATCTGAAGTGCCTTCATTATTGGCTATTTGTGGGCAGACATACTACTTTGGTACATTTCTAGCCGGACCACAGGTAAATACTAAGCATTCAATAGATTCAAGTCAGATTTGAGGCTTTGCTATCATGTTAGCTCACCCGACCAGGTGGCTAATATGGTCTTTCTTGTGACTCTGTCCTCATTATGCAGTATCATAAAAGATAAAGAAACAATTGTCTGTTCTGAAACTACATTTTCAGTTAAAACAAAACATAACCACAATCATATCTTAAATAAATTGTCTCCCCTCTTTGTAAATATTGACCAGATTGATACCAGTATATTGTGTACTTACAAATCACACGTTGGTTTATTTTTTATCACTCCTTTTGAGATAAACAAAACATAGATGCATTGAGCACCTATACATACTAGCCATGAATATTTAACAAAAAATATCAAGAAAATCAAATATTTACTTAGATATTCATGATGTGTGTGTGTATGTATATATAAATTACCCCGGTATACTTTTCTAGAAAATGAATCTAGTATCTGTTCTAAAAACATCAATAGCAATTTTTAAGGTTGGAAGTTATCTTTCTTTGACCGTAGACAAAGGAAGATGTATTGCTGTCCAATGCTTATAACACAATGCAATGTTTAATTTTTAATTCTCACTGCAAAATGAATGCCGTCTTCACCCTTCAATGCTCACTAGCACTTTGATTTGACCTACTTTTGATCTAATTATAATCATTAGACTATGCAAAGATTTAGACAATTTTAAGTTTAATAAACATCTGCAGGACAATTTTAAGTTTTCTCTGTATTGTTAGTTTTTTATCGTATATTGGTATGACGTTGGGATCGTCGTCGTCGTCGAAGACACATTTGTTTTCGCAAAATAACTTTAGTTTAAGTGAATGGATCTCTTTGAAATTTTACCATAAGGTTCAATACCACAAAAGGAAGGTTGGGATTGATTTTGGGGGTTATGGTACCAACAGTTAAGGAATTAGGGGCCAAAAATAAGCATTTTTGTAACTTCCAGACAATAACTTGTGTGTTAGTGTATGGATCTCTCTGACACTGTACCACAAGGTTCCATATTACAAAGGGAATGCTGGGATTGATTTTGGGGGTAATTGCCTCAAAATTTTAGGAATAAGTGGCAAAAAAAGGGGCAAAAAACAAGCATTTTTCTAGTTTCATGACAATAACTTGTGTGGAAGTGTATGGATCTTTCTGAAATTGTACTACAAGGTTCCATATCACAAGGGAAAGCTGGGTTTGAGTTTGGGGGTAATTGCCCTAAAATTAGGAATTTGGGGCCAAAAAGGACCCAAAAAACAAGCATTTTTACAGTTTCCAGACAATAACTTGTGTTCAAGTGTATGGATCTCTCTGACATTGTACCACAAGGTTCCATATCACAAATGGAATGCTGGGATTGATTTTGGGGGTATTTGCCTCAAAATTTTAGGAAGTAGGGGCCAAAAAAGGGGCAAAAAACAAGCATTTTTCTAGTTTCATGACAATAACTTGTGTGTAAGTGTATGGATCTCTCTGAAATTGTACTGCAAGGTACCATACCAAAAAGGGAAGGCTGGGATTGAGTTTGGGGGTGATGAATCATTAGGGGGTTCAAAAAATTGGAGGAAGGGGATTTTTTTTTCCTTTTTTTCCTTTTTATTTTTCTTTAAAATTTTCCATTTAAGTTGGTTATTTTTTATTTATATATAAAAGCAAATAATAATGATATGGTTTGATTTCATCAAAAATTGAAATATTGGGGTTCTTTGATATGCTGAATATATCCGTGTATTTAGATTCTTAATTTTTGGTCCCGTTTTCAAATTGGTCTACATTAAGGTCCAAAGGGTCCAAAATTAAACTTAGTTTGATTTTAACAAAAAATGATTTCTTGGGGTTCTTTGATATGCTGAATCTAACCATGTATGTATTTAGATTTTGGGTATTGGACCATAATAGGTGAATTAAAAATGTTTAAGTTCTTAGACCACATTCATTCTGTGTCAGAAACCTATGCTGTGTCAAATATTTAATCACAATCCAAATTCAGAGCTGTATCAAGCTTGAATGTTGTGTCCATACTTGCCCCAACTGTTCAGGGTTCGACCTCTGCGGTCGTATCGAGCTGCGCCCAGCGGAGCATTTTATTATAGGTTAATCTCCAATCACACATTTGTACATCAAGTAAACCATACCCTTTGAAAATCACTAAGCCTCTATGAGTTACTGATAAACTCACTTACCAGCAGATCAATATAAAAAAGAAGATGTGGTATGATTGCCAATGAGACAACTCTCCACAAGAGACCAAATGACACAGAAATTAACGACTATAGGTCACCGTACGGCCTTCAACAATGAGCAAATAGATATAAGAAGATGTGGTATGAGTACCAATGAGACAACTCTCCATCCAAAGCCCATACTGCACAGTCAACTATAAAAGGCCCCGAAATGACAATGTAAAATAATTCAAACGAGAAAACTAACGGCCTAATTTATGTACCGGTACAAAAAATGAACGAAAAACAAATATGTAACACATAAACAAACGACAACCACTGTATTACAGGCTCCTGACTTGGGACAGGCACATACATACAGAATGTGGCGGGGTTAAACATGTTAGCGGGATCCCAACCCTCCCCTAACCTGGGACAGTGGTGTAACAGTACAACACAAGAACGAACAATAAAATCAGTTGAAAGAGGCTTAACTCATCAGATGGAAGTACACTATGATACTTTTAGAGATGACAAGCAATATGGTAGTGATTGAAAGTGATCCAGGCAGATACATGTAGATTTTCACCATCTTTATTCATTACATAACTTCTTACTTGGATTCTACCTACCTCTCTGGATTACTGCAGCAGTCTTCAAGTTGAAAACTTCTTTTGCTGCCTCATAATTAAATATTTTATAATTAGCACCTGTTATTTAACTATGAGCTGTCGCCTAGTAAGCTAAACAATTTATCAGTGTTGTTTTTTTTAGTTTAACATAAAGAGATACCTACAGTTTGTGAATGGAGAATTTGATGATCCACTTCACAAAGGCCCTTCCAGGAGGTAAGTTAATATACATAGGATTTATGTCTCACCTCAACGAAATCATAGAGGTGTTACCTACGAAAGCTGTTTCTGGCATCAACAATTCATAAACATTCATAAAGATTGTGATAAGGTCAGTTTAAGGGAAACTACATTATGTAAGTCAATGATATTTGGTATGCAGTTGTATAAGCATTGCATATCTCTTTTATTAGGTGCAAATTATTTGACCCCACCTCTCAGTGATGGTCTATTGGCTTTGAATAATTTGTTAATATTTCCATTATAGTATCAAAATTTCACACTGGCAAGACATAGCACTGTGTCATCTGTTTATGGTTGTAATTAGTTTAAAGGGATAAAGATGATCCTGATAATGATGATAGATGGCTGTTTAATGCCCAATGGCAAGTTAAATTCATATTCAGGATGAGAACATGTAATGTGATATGAATATGAACACTGCATTGTACTAGACAGACACACTGCAGTAATAGGAATTAAAATATTATAACATTTTATAATATGAATAGTATATGTTTGTCAATAAGACATTAACAGAACAAGACAATAGACAACTAATATGAAAATAAGAAGATGTGGTATAATTGCCAATGAGACAACTATCCACCAGAGACCAAATGATGTAGAAGTTAACAACTATAAGTCACTTTACAGCCTTCAAGAATGAGAAAAACCTTACTGTATAGTTGGCTATAAAAGGCACAGCCATGAAAAAATATGAAACAAATAAAATGAGAAAACAAATGGCCGAATTTATTATAAAACAATTTACAAAAACCAAATATGACAGACTTTATTATATTGATTATTATTGGCCTTAATTCACAGGAGTCTAAAATATATATATAATTATATATATATAAATACAGCCAAAAATTGAGAAAAAACTTAAGAAATTCCTCTCATATAGTATTTACTTGATATTGATAAAATTTCTGATTTTGTTGTGCTTAAACATATTAAAAGAAACATATTAAGCTCTGAAATGCGCTGACTCTAAATAAGTCGTAAAAAAATTCAACATATCTGAATTGAACACACCTTTGAAATGACATAAGAATAAACATAGATGTTGTTGGATTATCTACAGTGGAAGAACTAATGATAAAGTAAATACACAACTACATGTATTTGGAATATAGAATATAAACACAAGCACATGAACATCAGTACTAGGTAAAACTATATCAAAGAATGCCAGTTATTTGAATAGATGTGTAAGATATCAACCTATATACAATGAAAACATATCTCATTACATTCCATTAACAGTGTTGGACCAGGACTGAAGCGGATGAGTATTGGTATACTGTACATAGCTATGTACCAGATTGGTGGACTGCTGTTTAATGAGGAACATATGTTATCTGAGGATTTCATGGTAACTAGAGTAAATTTTATTTATAGTTACGACTTATATCAATTACTATTGTAGAATTTATTATTATACCCCTGCTTTAACAAAGTGGGGGTATACTGTTTTACCTGTGTCTGTCCATCCATCAGTCCGTCCATCTGTCCCATGAATTTTTTTCGTCGCATTTTTCTCAGGAACTACATAACAAGGATTTCTGAAATTTTGTTTCAGGGTTTATATGAGTCAGCTATACCCTGTGATGCGTTTTCAGATTCATCACTCATTAACTTCCTGTTTACCGAACACTTACATCATTTTACACATGACATCCAAGTAGTTGAAAATTTTCGTCACATTTATCTCAGGAACTACATGACAAGGATTTCTGAAATTTGGTTTTAGGGTTTATATGAGTCAGCTATACCGTTTGATGCATAAGATTCATCACTCAACAACTTGTATACAGAAATATTAGGGCAGGGGTATCATCAGTTTGAGTTTCACTTGTTTACATTAATTTCATAGAAAATGATTCACTGAATGATGAAGAAATCTAAAGCCACAATAGAAAATGTTTTGAGAACACATAAAAAAGTTGTGAAAAGTTTTGATGTGGTATTTTGACAATTTACATGTAGAAATTACCTGAAACATAAGGTTTTTTGTCATATAATTGTTTTGTGCTGATGTATGTTTTACCACTTATCATTAAATCTGTAATAGAATGTATTAATGACTACTCAGACACATTATTCTGACTCTAAGCCTATCAGTAGACGATCTAACTCATAAATGCTGCATGCTCTGCGGAGAAGCACCAATTAACAATTTTCAGGTCTTTGGTTTGACCTGGCCTGGGATTTTAACCCTAGATCTCCTGCACTAGAGTCCAGCATGAGACAACAATGGTTGTGTGTTGAAAAAGAGGAATACAAGAACCAGTTTATGATGCTAACCTGAATCTTAATTATTACCAGTTCCTCCTTCCAGCTTCTTGAACAGAAAACACTTTTTACTGTGATTTTGAAGTACTTTGTGCCATTCATCAAAGAAATAATTTTTTTTGTTAATTTGAAGGATTTCAAAAATTAAGTTTTTTGCCAAGAAATGATACATGTAAATATTTTGAGAAAATAAAAATCTACTGGATGTTATCAAAATAAGACAACAAAAAGTGCTTGCTATGTATTCTAGCCACATTTTCAAGATTTTTTATGTTCTGAAGAAAAAGTAAAACTACCTAAAAAAATATGAGAGAAAACCATGCAGTGGTTTGTTTTTTGTGCTGTTTTATTGTATATTGATGATAACAAGATTACAACACAATATTATTTCAGCAGAAGTGATGTATATTTTAATCATATATCAACAAACATAATAATTTTTTTGAGGTGATTATGAAGAAAGGGTGAACTGGATTATCTATTATTTTACATATCAACTGTAAAGGTATTTATTACAACAAAATAAATGTTGTTACTAAAAGACCCATTTTTAGATGTTTACGTTTTTTATTTGTTTATTTCAGAACCATTATTTTATAACCAGATGTGTTTATGTTTTGTTTTATGGAAGAATCCTGTTTTGTCAGTATATAGGATGCTGGCTGATATCAGTAAGTAAAATGACATACTCTTACATTATATAGGATGCTGGCTGATATATCAGTAAGTAAAATTACATACTCTAGCATTATATAGGATGCTGGCTGATATCAGTAGGTAAAATTACATACTCTAGCATTATATAGGATGCTGGCTGATAGCAGTAAGTAAAATTACATACTCTTACATTATATAGGATGCTGGCTGATATCAGTAAGTAAAATTACATACTCTAGCATTAAATAGGATGCTGGCTGATAGCAGTAAGTAAAATTACATACTCTTACATTATATAGGATGCTGGCTGATATCAGTAAGTAAAATTACATACTCTAGCATTGTATAGGATGCTGGCTGATAGCAGTAAGTAAAATTACATACTCTTACATCATATAGGACGCTGGCTGATAGCAGTAAGTAAAATTACATACTCTTACATTATATAGGATGCTGGCTGATATATCAGTAAGTAAAATTACATACTCTAGCATTATATAGGATGCTGGCTGATATCAGTAAGTAAAATTACATACTCTGACATTATATAGGATGCTGGCTGATAGTAGTAAGTAAAATTATATGCTCTTACATTATATAGGATGCTGGCTGATAGCAGTAAGTAAAATTACATACTCTTACACTATATAGGATGCTGGCTGATAGCAGTAAGTAAAATTACACACTCTTACATTATATAGGATGCTGGCTGATAGCAGTAAGTAAAATTACATTCTCTTACATTATATAGGATGCTGGCTGATAGCAGTAAGTAAAATGACATACTCTTACATTATATAGGATGCTGGCTGATAGCAGTAAGTAAAATTACACACTCTTACATTATATAGGATGCTGGCTGATAGCAGTAAGTAAAATGACACACTCTTACATTATATAGGATGCTGGCTGATAGCAGTAAGTAAAATGACACACTCTTACATTATATAGGATGCTGGCTGATAGCAGTAAGTAAAATGACATACTCTTACATTATATAGGATGCTGGCTGATAGCAGTAAGTAAAATTACACACTCTTACATTATATAGGATGCTGGCTGATAGCAGTAAGTAAAATTACACACTCTTACATTATATAGGATGCTGGCTGATAGCAGTAAATAAAATTACATGCTCTTACATTATATAGGATGCTGGCTGATAGCAGTAAGTAAAATTACATACTCTTACATTATATAGGATGCTGGCTGATAGCAGTAAGTAAAATTACACACTCTTACATTATATAGGATGCTGGCTGATAGCAGTAAGTAAAATTACACACTCTTACATTATATAGGATGCTGGCTGATAGCAGTAGGTAAAATGACATACTCTTACATTATATAGGATGCTGGCTGATAACAGTGTAAAGTTACATACTCTTACATTATATAGGATGCTGACTGTTAACAGTAAGTAAAATTACACACTCTTACATTTAATAGGATGCTGACTGTTAACAGTAAGTAAACTTACATACTCTAGCGAGGTTCTCATAAAGATTTGGATAGGCAGTTCAACAATCCTAAGTAGGCAGCAAATCAGTGATACATGTATACAAAACAAAAACTTTTTATCTGCTAGAAATGTTTATAAGAAGAAACCCATGAAAGACACAAGGCTTGTAATTTTGCAATTTAGAAAGCACTGCATACATTTATTTGCAATAAGATTTATCATTGGGACTCAAATCAAAACAGTTTGAAGTCTTTAAAAGAGGGGTGAACCTGGATGAAGGGAGATAATTCTTCATCAGCAATGTGTTTGTAATTACTGAAAATTTGGAAATTATTGTGAGGTTTTTTTATAATTGGGAATAATGTGGCTGGGTGAGTATGGTAATAATAAGAACTCACATTCTGATATCTGATACATATATCTGTATGCAGATTATCCGGAAATTGCAATAATTAAACCTACATTTCTGTCCTTAATAATGGCAATAATAAATGCATGCAAAAATTTTTGAATTTACAGTATCAGTTTCATCTATGCTTTACGTATTTTCTATAGTAACTAGGGCTGTAATGACACACTTATGATAAGATACACATTAATATTGCTATACAAGGGTAATGAAAGGATACATAATCAATACACAGCCTTGAATGAATACATGTAGTCTAATAGCAAACTACCTTTGTTCTGCTCAGTAAACCTGTTGTTCCTTTAGTGTAGCTAAAATATATCCCAGCCATTTTCATAGAGACATTCAGCACAATGGGTGCCACATGTGGAGCAAGATCTCCTTACCCTTCTGGAGCACCTGAGATCACCCCTTGGTTGTGGTGGGGTTCGTGTTGTTCAGTCTTAAGTTTTCTATACTGTTGTTTGTCTTTTTGTTGTTTTTTTTCATGGCATTGTCAGTTTGTTTTCAATTAATGAGTTTGAATATCCCTTTAGTATCTTTCACCTCTCTTTTAATTTGAAACAATTTGTAACACAAGTTTTGACTGACTAGTAGAAAATTATAACACTCAGAATTCATCTGGACCAGAACAAAACCCAAATAGGGATGAAATGAATCGAAAATCGAACAAAGCAAAAATATTGTTATTCTTTGGTGAACCGTTCCACCACTAATAGTTACAAAAGTGTTGCTACAGAAAATTTTTGATATTGCACTTTGATTTTTGTTATGCGGATTAATTATAAGCAAAACGTAATTTATTCACCTCTGCAGTCATCTTGTTTAAACAAAAGAAATTCTGCACAAAATATAAGTTACTATTCTATTATACAGGAAGGAGTATGCATTCTGAATGGACTGTCTTACAATGGAAAAGATGAAAATGGAAACATATTATGGGATGGAATACAAAATGTGAAACTCTTCTCATTGGAAACAGCAACTTCATTCCATGGTTTAATATCTGCCTTTAACATCAATACCAATCTTTGGATGGCAAAGTATGTCTATATGCATAAAGGAAAAAATAGTATTTTTGTAGAAAAAAAAACAGTAGCTGTGTTCGTGTTGGAATGATATATTTATCAGCCTCAATTTAATAATATTATTACATAAGGAAAAATGTGTTACTTAATTACTACACTATATCACTATTTGCTTAAAAATTTTAAATGATTATAACAGAAAAAATTAATAAGAGCACACTGTCCTATTATTCTGATTGATTTATTATGATTTTTCAGCCGATTCCAATCACTAATAGCTAAAAAGAATACTGCAAACCAATAAAGAAAATACAGATTTGCAATGAATCATTTAGCGATAGAATAGCGTGTCACTTATAAGTGTATATGAACATTACCATGTAGTGTGGGGTGAACATGTTTTGTTGTATATTTTTAGATATCTTTTCAAAAGACTTAGATTTATGGGCAGCAAACTATTATCCCAGTCAGTAACCTTATTTTATCTGGCATTGTGGCATGGTCTTAAATCTGGATACTACATGAACTTTTTCCTGGAGTTTTTTATGGTCAACACTGAGAATCAGGTGAGTAATGTTTTAAGGCTCTGCTAACCTTTGGGAGATTCCTATATACAACTTATCACTATTTGTCTGCCATTACTGGCCATAACAGACATTCCCCGTAAAATTTGACATCACAAGAGAAAATTTCTGATGTAACAATACAAAATTGGTTGTTGTATGAGGTCAATAGTTCAAGTGGCACAAAATCTCTGGTAAAGTGTTGCAGATTCCGAAATAGCAATAAGGTCCATTAATCGGGGTTTGTCATGCAAATGTATATACTCTGCATCTTAAGTACTTGTTCAAGTTTATTATGGATACTTTGTAGAAAGTGTGTCAAAAACTCTATACCTTAAATTCCAGGTATTAAACTTAAATTAACTCTAGTCTGCTAACTCTAAGATCATGTTTACCAATCATATCCATTTTCTACCTGGAGTGTCCCTTAGACTGCATATAATTGTTCTTTTCTTGTGTGTATTGGAATAAAGATTGAAATTTCTAGCCTGGAAGTCAAGGTCACAAGCTTAATTCAATATCACTAGAAGTCAAGGACACAAGCTCAATTCAATGAGACAAACCATAGATCTACAAATGCCACAAAAACACAAGATAGCCTTATTGATGAAGATTAGGGAAAGTTCTGTTTGTTACTCGTGATATAGTTCTGCTATAAATCACACAAGCCCGTTTAAAGAAAAATTACAAAAAAGAACATTAGTACTTAAAGCACTTCACTGAAAACCATACACTTAGCAGCACAACCCTCTCTTAAAACCGGTTGGGGAATTAAGGTACTAGAAAAGTGATAAGTTCCTGTACTCCTAGTGACATCTCTTTTGTTGTTCATATCAGGTAAAATTTGGTGATAAGTTTCAGCTACAGGGGCTCTTTTCACAAAAAATATCTTAAGTTGTACTGAAATGTTCAATGTATTTTTACTAATAAGATTTTTTTGTGAAATGAGTCGTAGGGTAGTATAAGTTTAAAAGGCCAAGTTTTTATCATAATTATAATGCACCTAGTATTATCTAAGCACGAAATATGACTAAAAAAGAAATAAAATGAGGAAACTAAATGAATGAATGAATGAATAAGTGAAATTACTATGAAGGCTAAAAAATGTACATAGCTAAAATTCTGATAGAAATTGTAACCTTTTTTGAATTTACAGTACATTTGATATTATACCACTTATATTCAATACAATAATTATAGACTTTCAATTAATCAATACTGTGTATTCGTTTATTTTCATGGATACCAGTTTTTGTCAATTGATGAAAAGTTGTATTTTTTGTGGGTATTTGATTTAATTGATTTGCCAAAGTTTGCATATTAACCTATAAAAAGTGTTCTGGGTTGAATATTTAAATTTGTGGTTTACCTATAACCAGGAAATCCACGAAAATAAGTATACTAGGAATAATGATAACAGTATTTGAATTTATACCACTGATGAATATTGAAATATAAATAAGAAGATGTGGTATGAGTGCCAATGAGACAACTCTCCATCCAAGTCACAATGTATAAAAATTATAGATCAGATTACTTGATGATTAAAAGCAAGAGTTTCTATGAGCTCCTTTCTATTGAGTCTTGTCAGTGTTTATCTTTACATTTCTGTTTCCAAATTCCAGATGACTGCTTTGTCAAAGAAAGTGCCAGCTATACAGAAATTGACTTCACAGCCAAGTTTGCAGCCATTAGTTTGGGTTATAAAGAAGACCTTCATTACTTTCTCTTTAAGTTATGCCTTACTTAGTTTTGGATTGTTAGAATGGAACAAATATTTTAAGGTAATGTTTATCACAGACAAAATATTTATACTTCGATGATTCCTAGTATAAGAACATTTAGTAACAAAGTATAAACAACATGTAATGTTTTGATGAACCTATGTTCTGTTTATATATCTTCACTGATATATAGTCCTTTGCACTAGGGCGACACTTAGGAAAGATCAATCCAATCTGAGTGAAATATAAATACAGATCCTGTTACATATTGCTTTCAAGGATCTAACAACAGGCCATTCTTCTTCCAGGATCCTTTAGTTTTGTCATACACACCTTCATAATTATTGAAATAGAAATTATATTGAATCACAAGAAAGTACGATGGACTGTTCATATCACATCTCCTTATCTTTATATTGTTGTCAGATCATTGTTATCTAAGCGTGGACCTGTAAGGATCTGTATTGTAACCAAAATAGATAAATTAGTCTATCCATATTGGAATTAATGCCACTGATGAATATTAAAATTTACTCAAATTATATTGCTGTCAAATATTAATAGGCAGACATTTTTGAGGATCATAGTCATCATTGTCATGAATTTGTATTTGAAGTTTCAGAGAAAAAAAGTCAAACCATTGTTAGATATCAATAAAGGGAGGTGTGAGGTTTATATCAATGTGGCAGTAACCATTTACAAAAAAATATATTAACCAATGAGGCAGTAACTCAATTACACCAAATATATATATTAACCAAAGAGGCAGTAACTCAATTACACAAAATATATATATTAACCAATGAGGCTGTAACTCAATTACACAAAATATATATATTAACTAAAGAGGCAGTAACTCAATTACACAAAATATATATATTAACCAAAGAGGCAGTAACTCAATTACACAAAATATATATATTAACCAAAGAGGCAGTAACTCAATTACACAAAATATATATATTAACCAATGAGGCAGTAACTCAATTACACAAAATATATATATTAATGAATGAGGCAGTAACTCAATTACATAAATAATGAAAAGACATACAGAAACTGTAAGAGGAAATAAGTTGCCTAAATAAATATAAAATAGTATTGGAGTAACTGCATTTATATTGATGATATCTTGTCCTGCAGAATATTGCATAGCATAATTTTTCAAGTGCAATTGATATTCTATGAGGAGTAATAATTAAAAAACTCATGCAATAACCTTATTCTTGTATGATACATGTGATAACAATATTTAGTTACAAGATCACCATGGTTATCTACATTATTTTCAATGGATATGGCTTTTTATTTATTATATTAGTATCGTTTCTACACAATATCATATATATTTCATGTATAACAAATTTGCCTTACAGGTTTATGGATCCATATATTACATAGGTCATGTGATATTTATGTTAGTACCTTTAGTGGTTTATTTGTTTGCAAAAGTTCCAATTTCTGTGTATACATCACATAGAAGAAAAATGAGGTATGTTCAGAATACTTACTAGTACAAAATAAAAAATATAAAATGTATTTCATATGATCAAAATTATTACTGTAAAGGCAGAAAAAAATGGTTCAATGCATTTGTAAATGTGATTGTTGTTCAAAGGGGAAAAAGTGAGATTAAATAAATGTAATTACTTGAAAATTTAAGGGGATGTAGAGAGGAGAAACAAACTATATTTTCATTTTTGTCTAACCAGTTTCCAATTTATTATAACTCCACTCTTAGAAGAAAGGGCTATATTGCATTCAAATTGACTGTTCCTTCATCCTATCATGTGTCCATCTTTCCGTCTCTTTGTCCAACAATTATTTTCTTTACACTTTTATCAGATACTTCTGACCAGGATGACTTCATGTTTGGTCAGCAGCTTGATATTTTTGTATTGTAATGAGTGGCCACTTTAAGGGTCTGTCACGACAACTACTTTCTGTTTGTCGATACTTTTTTTCATTATGTATAATGAACTTAAAAGTTCTTGTTTCACATTTCTTAAGTTCTACTGAACAGAAAGCTTTCATATTTAGTCAGCACCTACAAACTGAAAAGTTTTAAGTTGTAAGCGCTTTTCAGACCCTGTTTTCCAATAATTTGAATTACGAATAGGTGTATGCTTGGCACAACAACACATTCTTGTTCCTTTCAAATTTCTACTGCTAACAAATAAAAGCAAAAAAAACCACTAAAAAATACTAACTGTAAGCATTTGTGGAAACAAGACAGAGACATTCAAACTGTTTAAGATCACATTATAGCAAAGCATTACTAGACATTTGCATGATGTATTTATTATAACTTCAGAAATTTTTGTGTGCATTCATTATTGTTGTCAATTATGACAATGTTATCATAATTCTTTATAGTGATTTGATTAAATGTATCATACAAATAATGCTATCAATATCTAAAATGTGATTTATTATTTTTAAAAAACCTATTTCATTGCAATTTTTTGCAAAATGAGATAAATTAAAAACATTTGTGAATTTACAGTATTGCTTTATGATATATCACCTTTAATTTACAATAGCTAAACTCTTTGGTTCATCCCTTGCTTGAAATTAAATGGTTGTAATTATCTACAAGTTTCAGACTTAATTAAAACATCTTTTTCTGTTTTCAGCAAAGAATTAAAAGAAGACAAAGTGGACTGATGAATAACTTCAAGTTTGCTAAATTGTATTTACAAGTCTCGATAATTGAAATCAAGTAACCCACCATATCACTTTCTTTATGTAGTAAAGATTATGTTGCAATGTATATTTTATTATTTTATCTGTTATTACTGCTTATATTGATTAAAGTTTAAATTTTCAATATTCTGATTTCCTTTGATTTTGTTGAAAGTAAGAAAAACCCTGAATACCTATAAATTGAAGCTTATTATTTGTGTTCTATTCTGTACATCAATTTTATTATGTGATTTCCATGTTATATATATTTATTAAACTGTTGAATTTAATTTAATTTGAATTGAATTTATTTATTACCATAATATGTTTACCACACGAGAGAAAATATTATTTACATTGGAAGGGATTAAAAACCGCAGCATATCATGAGATTTTTGAGTGGACTTATTTTTGACCTTTTTTTTTTTTTTTTTTTAAATTATGATATAAAACTCTTATTATCAGTTAGATTTTCTTCCCCTTTTCTTTATGTAGACATAAAACCATGTGATATGGAATAAATTTAACCTTCTGATGTGCCATATATAAATGGTAAACAGAATAAAAATTTTAGCCTTTGATTTCAGTTTAATGTATTTATTCATATATGAGGGTTGTAGGCTAAAGGTGTAGATTTATAGAAATTACTTTAAAAATGTATGGTAGATACCCAGGGGCGGATTCAGAGGGGGCGTGGCGGGCGGGCGCCCCTAAAATTTGCAAAGCATGGGTTGTCCTCAGCTTAATAAAGAATATTTTCGATAATTTTGCCTCTAAAAAAATTTAAGTTTGCGCCTCCCTTAAACCTAAAATCCTGGATCCGCCCCTGATAACTAGTCCACTCTTATCATCTGGAACTCATTTGGTTTTAAAATTAAAGATGATCATGAGTCACATTTACTGTGGTCCTAAACATAGCTCCACAAAAATGTATATATTTTTACACCATTTCAGGTGAAATTAGATTAGGTCTGTTTCAAATTGCTCATGGTGGCGGGATGGAATCACTCAAATTGATTAATTGTGACTGGTTGCATTTTCATAACAACATTTTATGAATTAGAAGTAAAAAGAAAATTTTATATTATGAGTGGTTGGGAACAATAAATAAGAGTCTGTCTTGCCCCTGTATGCATTCTGGAACTGCCCTTGTTGGAAATTTCATGGTCTAAAGGTTAATAAAACATCACATTTTTGTACTTTGAATTAGTGGACAACTTTTGCTTGACAACATGACTTTACTAGATTAAATTAGATGAGATTAAATTACTTTTTCACATGGAAACAAGTCATTATCAATTGTACTTTGAACAGATTTACTTTAAACATGTATTTTGTTAATAAGATAAAAAGATTTGAAATCAAAAACCTAATACTAATGTTGAAGGGCTTAACAATGCAAAAAGGATAAAGTATTGCCAAATTTGTACAGGAACAAGGGAGATAGCTTAGTGTATATAATTTGGATACATATGAAATATGATTGCTTTCAAGTGCCTCAGTAATGCACTTCATAGTGAATGTTTCAGAAAGATTAAAAATTACAAAGATTATTTTGACAATAATGTATAGTAAGGTTTTGCTTTTCTTAAAGCATTTATAAATTTTTAATCAAAATATGATGGCATTAATTTGAATATGTGCATTAGTTTCTTATGATATGTTTACATAAATAAAATGAAAGGGTGAAATGATGAAGTATTGAAATCATTAATTTGTTGACATTATTATTGTGCCTTCCAATGTGTGCCTGTTAAGGAGAATGTTGAAGAGATATTATTTGTATGCAGGTTAAGGTATACTTTTTATGTTAAATTAATGTTGCTTTTTCCCATAGGAGTGGAGTTTCATTTTAGGATGAGCCGCAATGGTGTTCAATTGTCAAGCACAATAAATGTTTCACCATTTCAGAATCTATTTCATTCTGGGAAATATTTTCAAAGTGTACACCAAAACGTTGTGATTGGCTAACAGCATCCTAAACAATGGAAAATCAACCAATGAACTGACATTATTTCTGTTATCCAGGTACAAACATGAAAATACCCATAGTTGTTTAGATTCTGAAACGGCTTATTCATTATAATGTTACATACTTAATAGCTAGGATTGTAATTACATCATTGTAGTCTTATTCTATTATGTTACTTTTTTTGAGAAAAAAAGACTGGGGAAAAATATATGAGAAACAAATAGTCCATCTGTTTGCTCTAGAATTACAATATTTTTGCAGTCTCTGGTTAAATTTAAAATTTAAACATGCTCACTAAATATACCAAAGGAACATTCAAACTCATAAGTCGAAAAAAACTGACAACAATGCCTAGGCAAAAAAAGAAAAAGACCAAAAGACAAACAACAGTTTACAAAACACAGCATAGAAAACTAAAGATTGAGCAACACGAACCCAACCAAAAACCTAGGGGGTCACATTGAAAATAAAAAGATAACACTCTAGTGGTGAGATATATCATATCTCACAACATGAGGGTAATCTGTATTTATAACCTTGTCAGTATATTGTGATTGAATATGCAATGTTTTGTATCTAAAATGTCTTGTGTATATAATGTATCATTGTTGAAGTTTTGCAGTTGTTATACTATTTGTTTGCTGTACACATTGTATGGACAGCATTGATGTTTTGTGGTTTATTATTGTTGCATTGTTGAAAAGTGCTGTGGTATTTTATATTTGTTACATAATGATTAGACTTAAAGACCAAACAGCCTAATAAGTTGTACCAGAAACTCTGTCCTGAAATTTTAAATAAGTATTTCATGATTTTGGGAAGAAAATTTGATGAAAAAATATAAGGGTCACACATTTATTTTTCTATAACAGCATACTTTTTTCCCCCCCTAATTGAAAATTGTTTGGCTGTTATTTAGAATTTCATATATTTCATTAATATGGAACTTCAGTCTTCACGATAAACATTTCAATCTACAGGTCTAAAGCTGAATTTTACGAAAATTTAAGTTAGATTTTATTGGCCTGTAGAGATGATTTTTACAGGCCTGACATCATTTTTACAAGCCTGTGGTTGAACCCGAAGACTGAACTTAGAACCATACTTCTTATTCATTCAATTTTAAAAGGAGATTTGTATCTATAAGTTTGACTCATAGAGCTTATATTCCTATGTGTTTTGATCCTAAAGATTATGCTTTATTTAATTCTTCCCAAAATTTATATGCAAGAGTGTAAATCTTTTCAAGTGTTGAAAAATATTTAAAGATGACTTTTTCATAAAATTATTAAAGTGCTTTATGCACTCTTTTAAATGAGACCAAAAAAGTATATGTCACCGACCTTTCAAAAAAAATTATAAGTTTTTTTCATGTTGGTTTTCATTTGTTTTTAAGTGTCTTTCTTTCGAACACTGAATTGTATAATGAACAAAATTCCTTCAATTCCAAAATGATAACTATTTCACAAATATTGCAAATAGAATAGTTGACACTCAGAAAGTGTTCTATTTGTTGAGAATGGTCTAAAGTATTGACCTAGCGAAAAAGGAGCTAAATCAGTTGAAATGCGCAAAATCGTAACCAATAATGTACCATTTTTTGCTGAGTGCAGGAAAATAATCTTTTAGAGATTATATATTTAATTCACATTATGCTAAAACAGAAGGATGTTTGGTCTTTAATTTAATTCAGTGTTTTAAATTGTTTCAGTTAATGTTAACGTTTGATTAAAAGCTATATTTACCTTTAGTTTACTGTGGAATCATTGTGTGCATCAATTCTCTTGGATTGATAACTTAATACGCGTCTGACGTATTAACTTAAAATCCTGGTACCTTTGATAACTATTAATAGGAATAGAATTTCTTATTTTATTTAATGCTTTCATCTGTGGTATTACCAATTTCTACTTACAAGTATTTTAGGAAATTTGTGTATTTTGTTGAATAGACAAATTAAAATAGAAAAATAATAATGAATCCACAGTATTAGATAGTGACTTGTATTGTTCATTATGTTTTAAAGGACCTGACAGAGTAAAATTGATGTCATCATAAGTTTCAATCAAAATTGATCATGTTTCTTTTAAACTTATTTATACTATGTAAAAAATTCAAATTTTATATATATCTTCAAATGTTAAATTGAAAAGTAGATGACTTATTATTATGATGACTATTTGTAATGGTAAATTTTGTATCAGCCATGTTAACCTAAATGTTGTTCACTGTTGGGCACTTGCAATTGAGTAATTATAAACAAAGTCTGAATTCATTCTTTTCTTCCATTGATCCTACAATAGTATAGAATAACTGCTTAAATCTTTTCATATTGGCCTACCTATTGGTTAAAAGAGCAGTTAATGGCATATCATCCATATGTTACTAAAAAATATAAAGAGCCCAATATGAAAACATTCGGCAATTATACCTTAATCAATAAACCTGTACAAAATGTGCAGCATCTGGAAAAAAATTTAAAAAATCATATTTAGACTAACCTGAATTAGACCAAAACAAAAAGGAACCTAATATTAACAAGGTTTTAGTCATATTGGTTCAGTATTTCAATTGTATACTGTATTGGCAGTGTTTATCATATTTTAAGCTAAATCAACTTCAGCCATACTTTTGTTTCTTTTCAGAACATGTTTTGTACATACTGAAATTTCAGTAGATTTTATACTGAAATTTCAGTATTGATCAATTTCAGTATGTACAAAACATGTTCTGAATAGAAACAACAGTATGGCTGTAGGTGATTTGGAATTCAGTGGACCCTAAGATCAATTCTTGGGCATTATTTCCTTTGAAATGTCATTACAAGTCCATATGGATTTAGTATTGCAAAAATTATTCCTTGGTGCTGAGAGCATGAAATTATGTACATGGGTCTTGCTGGATAACTTTTGTTTCATATTGGTCTTTGTAAACATTTATTGTTATTAATCAAATCAGACCATGTAAATATATAGATTAATTTATTGCATTCCAGATTTCTGTATGTATTTTACATTTCTTGTCATATGATAGCATATAACAAAACAGGTGCTTAAAAAACATGTTAACACTTTTAAATGTATTATTATGTGGTAACTGCTCAAAATTTATTTTGATTGTACGAATATTGTTTTAATTTTTATATAGTTAATTAAATGCTCTTACTATCAATAAAAAGGTCTATTCTTGACGAGGGCATCATCAGCTCAGTAGTCAGTGCTTCAGCACCGAAATGATTTATAACATTTGCCATTTTAAAATTATAATTCATGAATTAAGAAATTATTCTAGAACTAAGATTCCTACCCCTTCAGGCAAAGTTGCCCTTAGATGCATTTTGGCTATTCTGTCCTTTTTGGTCATATAGCTCCTAACTTTTCAGCATTTTTAAGCATTTATGATTTTCAAATGTTCGGTTTTGAGGGTTTCAGATGAAAGTAATACAGAAAAGAATTTAAAAGAATTTATAATGAAGTGTTTATTTCATTAACTGTGTGGTTGTTTTAATAGATATAGTCAATTACTTTGATGTTTATACAATGATTACCGACTCATGTTGTGAAATTTGTTTTAAAAGAGTCTCGTTTTGATTAGAAATTACTAAATTGCTTATAAATAAGTTTTTATCAAGAAAGTATTTGAAAATAATAACTTATATACTCTTTTCCAGAAAAATCATTATAAATAAAGGCAACAGTAGTATACTGGTGTTCAAAAGTCATAAATCGATTGAGAGAAAACAAAATGCGGTTTACAAACTTAAACCAAGGGAAACACATCAACTATAAGAGGAAAACAAAGGAACAACAGAAACACTGAAGTGCAACAAAAACAATCGCCAACATACACAGAAACGAACTATTTGAAAACAACTGCCATATTCCTGACTTGGTACAGGACATTTTAAGAAAAATGGTGGGTTGAACCTGGTTTTATGGCTAGCCAAACCTCCCGCTTATATGACAATATTAAAAAATATCGCTAAAATGACAACACTATGTGACAGAAATACAGCAAAAACACATGCAAGAACACTCATCACAGAGAAACGCACTAACAAATAATTTAATAGTCAACACAACATGCAAACCGCAGAACAACAACGAACATCTTCTATTAATGACAGACACCACAGGTAAATTATATATTTATTTGGACTACAAACGATAAGACATAACACATTATCCAACCGAAACCATAACAGAAACATCAAAAATAAATACATGAATGTTGGATGTACAAAATACCGAGACATGTCGTATAGCAATGCAAATACACTCGGTATAACAGTCATATTCGGGAATAGGTCACGTTCGGTACTTAGCAGACAGACGACATAGATGCTAAACCACAATCTAAGACGTGATAGAAATGTCATTAGTTAGTTTAGACACAGACACATCGTATACATCAACCAATTCGTGATGGTGTCCATAAAATTTACAGAGTGTCGTTTTTAATCTTTCCTCCTCATAACTCTGTTGGAGCAGTTTCTGCGTAAGGAGCACACTCCTGTATATAAAGTCAGTGTTGTGTGAACATGCACGAGCATAACATCAGTTGAGATATGTAAACACCATATGACGGAGCAGAGGGTATGTTACTGCTGAGAAATGGGAAATTGATAATTGGGAAGTTGAAATCATCCCGTTTGTCATAGGTTTTAGTGTGAAGTCGTCCATCTGTGTCAATATTGAGGAAAAGATCAAGGTATGAAGCAGTCCTTCTTGTATCAGTAGTATCCTTAATTTCAAGTTCACTGGGATATATGAGATGCAAGTACTGACTGAAATATAGGTTATTCAGTGATCATAGGACATCATCAATATATCTGAAAGTAAAATTAAAGGATTTGCAAGGTACTTTTTCTTTTTGTCTTTTAGAAAGTTCTGAATGAATTCTGCTTCATACGAGTACAAAAACAAGTCGGCCAGAAGGGGTGTACGATTAGTACCCATTGGAATACCGACTGTCTGTTGAAATATCAATCCTCCAAACTCAACAAATATATTTTCGATTAAAAAGTCCCACATTTCGATAATATCATCTTCACTGTATTTTCTGATAGAATCAGTGTGGTTCTTCACAAAATAAGAATTATACTAGTAACCCAAAACAAGAAATTTATATCTACGATTCCCTTTTTAATAGAAAAAGCTCCGTTTAATTAGATGGTGAAGTCGATCTTTCAATTGAGAATGGGGAATAGTAGTGTAAAGCGTAGAAAAATCAAAGGTCCTAATGTTGCTGCAAAATTGCAGAGATTGTGATCTACGATTTAGCAGTAGATCTTTAGAATTTTTGAGAATCCACATCTGATTGACACCACTGGTTGAATACATCTCATGACAATATTTTTGAAGGCCATCTTTTACTGTATAAAGAATAGTAGTCAATTTTTTAGAAAGATGTTTAGTCGAACATCTTGATGATCCAGCTACGTATCGTTCTTTATACGGAGTTTTGTAAAGTTTTGGTATCCAGTATAATGACGGTAGATTTTCTTCGTTTTCTTTAATGTTAATACCAAATGAAAGAAGGACAGATTTGTGATTTTTTTAAATTTCATCCTTTGTAAATGATGTTAAAGAATATGTAGAATTACCAGTTGCTGTTTATTCCAAGCTCTTTTGTGAGACATTGCAAATAATGGTTTTTACATACGAAGACAATATTATTGGAGGCTTTATCTGCTGGAACAACGACATATTTGTCATGCAAAGAGGATAGAGCATCCACAACCTCCGGGTATTTGAAAGGGTGCGAAACACTTGTGCTCATAGTACATCGTAGTTTCTGAATGCGCGTCTGAATGTATGAATAGCTTTGATCCATTCAGACAAAGTGTCTAGTTCTGGTTCGTCTGGTTCGTACTTTACCCATTTTCCAGCATAGTCCTCACCTGCATCCATCAGTAACATAAGGTCCTTTTTCCAGTTGATGGGCTGGGGAATTCTATATTTTGGTCCCTTGGCTAACAACTCTCTTAGTTGTTCATTGGTAAAGATGCCAAGGTAGCCAGTAATAACATGACCAGCTGGACTATAATTGTATTTTGATGATGCACATGAGCAATCCGGAGATTTGGATTTCACATTTTTGAGGTTAAAGGCCCCTGAAACCCTTTCATGGTTAAAAATCTTTGATGCAATAGACTTGGTGTAAGTATAAGAAATTACAGGTGTAGCTTTTTTTTTTGAAGTAATCAGGTACAGTTTTTGATACAGATTTCCGGTGGAAAGTATTGCTAATATTGATAG